CCTCATTGAATAGATTTGTGACAAATGCACAAGATCATTATTTATTATGAGTAAACGGTCAGTTTACCCCCTGAACTTTCATCTCACTTTTGATTTTCCCCCTGAACTTTTCTATTGGAAAATTAAGGACTCAAACTAATTTTTTTAGCCAATTTGCCCCCTACCGTTAATTTTTCATATATTCCATCCATATTTCCATTAAGTGAGACCATGTGCACAACATGTGAGGGTAGTTAAGTTATTTCACTCTTAAAAATGATTAAAAAACTGAAAATAAAAAAAAAAAGCAAAACTTTCCCTCTATTTTTTCCCGCTAATTCCTATCCTCGATTTTATTTTTCCCTCCCATTCCTATGCATGAGAAATGACATATGGTGTTATTGTCTACCATTTTTATTTTCTCTAACAAATTAATAATTTGACAAATGCTAATGGTGCTATTGTCTCCAAAGCAGTGCATTAATATAAGAAACCTTAATCTTTTTTATGGACATGTTTCTTATATTAATGTACTGCTTTGGAGACAATAACACCATGAGCATTTGTCAAATTATTAATTTGTTAGAGAAAATAAAAATGGTAGTACATGCTTCAAGAAAAAGATTAACTTAGCTACTTATGAAGACAATAACACCATATGTTATTTCTCATGCATAGGAATGAGAGGGAAAAATAAAATTGAGGATAGGAATTAGCGGGAAAAAATAGAGGGAAAATTTTTATTATTATTTATTTTCAGTTTTTAATCATTTTTAAGAGTGAAATGACTTAACTATCCTCACATGTTATGCACATGGTCTCATTTAACGGAAATATGGATGGAATATATGAAAAACTAACGGTAGGGGGCAAATTGGCTAAAAAAATTAGTTTGAGTCCTTAATTTTCCAATAGAAAAGTTCAGGGGGGAAATCGAAAGTGAGGTGAAAGTTCAGGGGGTAAACCGACAGTTTACCCTTATTTATTATGGCATCGTCACGATACAAGGAGAGATGTAGACACTATGGAGATTACTTAAAAATATTTTCCAAGTCAAGGTAGACAGATGTTTTAGTCAACAGATCCATTTTCCGAATAATCGTCTTTGTTTCTATATTTTCTAAAATTTTAGGTTCCCATGATTGGTTGGCTAAATTGGACAAGCACCTTTTTTATTTTTATTTTTTCAATCAAGAAAAGCCACAACTCACTACTTTCTCAAGTAATTAAAAGCTCTATGAAAAAGTAACATTTGTTTGAGATTTGATTGTATATATGTAAACACGAAAATTATGTAGCAAATAACAAGAGAATACGTGTACAAAATAATTGTATTATATTAATTTTTATGTACGATTACAATTTATGTTTACAAAGTTTCCTCTTATTCGATCTTCGAAGTGTCAGGTGTGTAGTGTTGATTCAAAGGTCTCGATGACTTGATCTTGGATGCCGTAAGGTTTTGGCTCTTGGCAATGGAGAAACAGGCATGTGTAGGGGTGATTGGTGGTTCTGCACAAGTTAGACAAAGAACGCGGAGGGTTTTCCAAGTCTTCTTGAGTATTTGAGGGGTTTGAGTGCTTAAGAGCTTCAGAGTTTCAAAGCTTCATCGTTTGGACGTAAATGATTTTCTGGACTATTTCCTTTGTCTTGGAGCCTCCTATTTATAGATTTTCTAAGTCTTGCCTACGGATGGATTTGGATTTGATTGTGGGCTTTGATTAATTAACGAAAGAACCAGGACTTGATTTGCGGGCCGATTCGTAATTTGACTCAATCAATTAACATTTGATTTGATTAAATTAAAATCAAATAATTCATTTCGGCCAAATGTTGACACGTGTCCTTTTTGAAGACTTGTGTGATTTTGATGAGGCACTTCATGTGTATGATTTATGAGGCACATAGCGGATACCACGTATGCCCTAGCATGTTGAAACTTTAATGCATTGATGAATATTTATTTCACCGAAATTTCGATGTCTACAACATATTCTAGCAAAATCTATGGTAGTTTTGCTTCTATGTGAATTATCATTGTGTGTAAATGTGCAGCTGTTTTCTTTAGATTGATGAGTTCATCATTTTTCAGTAAATTTTTTTTATCTATAGTTTGGTGGTGTTCTGAGAGGGGAAATGGGAAAATGAGGTGAGGGAGCCTCAAACTCCCTTGAGGAGGGCCACAAGAGTGCTTGATTTTCACTATAACATTAACCATCAATTTTTCGTTTGATGGGGCCTCGGATGTCCCTGTTCCTAGGGGACACCCTACCTCATTTTTCAGTAAACTAATTACAAATCATTATTTGTGTATACAGTCAATGCAATCGAATTACACTAAAAATGCACACCAATTATTATTGATTAGTTGGTAGTATAACTAACATGTCAACTCAAAATATAATCATTTCAATCCCACTACATATCTCTCTCATCAATGATGAATAAGACCACTTGGAACCTCTTTTTCGTTAGGCACCCAATCATTCAACTTTGTCCCTTCGTGGGTCCTTTCCTATCTCCTAAAGTTTAAGTTTACTTCAACTTTTAATTTTTTTTTTAACCAAAGAAAGAGATATATTAAATACGAATGGAAATGTTTACATCCTTCGCAAGAACATTAAACAGAAATTCAGGGCCAACATGGTCCCAGACAAAGTCCTTGCCTTCCTTGAAGACAAACTTAGCCACAGAGTGAGCGGCACGATTTCGCTCCCTAGGCACAAAGCCAAACGTCACAGACGTTAGTCTTCGGGCTAGTACCTCAATATGCGGAATCTCAATCACATATTATATCTCGAAAAAAGAAAAATATTAAAAATATCATATTTTATAAATCACATCTACATTATCTTTTTAATAGACGTGTGATAAACTTTTTTTCCTCATTTGTACAACTTACTGTTTTATCCGATTCAAACACCTTAAAAATGCATATATATAGTATAAATTACAATAGTGGTCCATGAATTATACATTTGTTTTACTTTCATTTTTATTTTATGCTAATCCAATTTCTTCCCCTATTCCATTTTTATCAATATGTCAACTTTTCAACTTGTTTTGTCATGTAAATGCTACATGAAATGATCATTTTACCGCTTTAATATAGGTCAAGTGGACAAAAGTGTGACAAAATGACTAAATTGAGACACGTAACGCATTAAACGATTATATAATTAAAAAACTAAGTTAACATGAGAGAAATGAAATGCGAGTTTACGTTCAAAGAATTCATTCATACACCAATTATGATATGTTCTAAACTTTGGAGGGGAAGTGAAGGACTCATCATAATACTGTCTTAATTACATATAAATTTTTCTCACTTATTTAGGCGTATATATTCCATTTGTATATAAGATTTTGTACGACAGGGTTGTAACTTTGTGTATGTATAGAATCTAAAATTATATTTGCTAGGGTTGGTGGTGATGGATGAATGCTCATAGAGAATAATTATCGGTTGGGTTTGGAAAGACGATCTATAAATCATTAACATTTGACATTAAAATATGAACATTACACATGCTTATCCACTGAGAAAAAAAAAATTGGATCCAAATCAACTTTTACTAAGACTAAAAAAGTACTTGTGGGTTTAGCATCAATTAATTATTTTGGAAACCTTTAAGTAGTGGGGAATCCATAATTTGAACCTTGGGAATTCTAGTGTTGAATACAAATTTTTTAGATAGTAACAAAGCGCGAAGTGTGCAAAAAAAAAAAATGTTTATTCACTTGGTGGGTTGTTATGCACATAACAACAGATATCGACATATGGCAAAGCAATCTGATAAGTGATGAGAGAATTTGTCGAGTGTTGTCGACGCAACATATAAAGATATACCTAGCATGCATACATTACACATTTAGTAAGCACAAAAATGCTCCGTACCAAACATTCGGAGGGTTCTCTAAAGACCTTAACATGTATATTTTCCGAACTTAGGTGGTCCTATGACCACCTTGGTCTCTATTTCCATCTGCCCCTACCTCTAAGAAACTCGAGATGTGGTTAATGCTTCATTGACCTTTTATGATAAAAGCTTATATGAAATGAGCATTATTAGACGTTTTTGATACAATATTATGCACAAATTTTTATCTCCGCACGACATTGCATTATTGGATTGTGACATCACTTGAAAGTAAAAGTTGTTTATTGTTCTTATATAAGGTGTTATTATTGTTCTTATTTTTAAGTTTCTCTCTCACTTTGTGCGATTATAATTTTCAATTAATTATTATTGTTCTTATTTGAAAGTGTTTATTTCTCTGAGCAAATATAATTAATTAATTTAGAAGTTAGACTAAGATACCTATAGTCTTGGAAGACAAATTATGAGTCATGAGCTGGCCTTGAATGTGAATCTGCCCGTAAACTTGAGCAAGTGCATGCACATTTCTTGTTCCAAAGTTGCATCAACAAATTATTAAAGACATAGTAGGTATACCTACTGCAAGAAATGGCCAATGTTTTAGAACAAGACTTGGCTGCTGAACAATTCAGTTGACACTCCTGCTTATATCCAATCCCGTGTGGACATGTGTCCAAATTTTGATCTCACTTTGCTCTCTATAACTTAAAAGTTGCTACTTTACTCTATGAAACTCAATGTTGGCTTCACTTTGCCTCTTGGAACTCGATTTTGATCTCATTTTGCCCCCAAAACTGATGGGTGTTGGGTCCCACATATGTTTTAGGAGGCGACCTATAAATTACAAGGATAAGAGAGAATTTACAAGTCAAAGTGGAACGAATTTTGAATTTCAAGAAGTAAAATTGTGATTTTTGAGTTATAGAGGGTAAAATAAAATCAAAATAGAATTCCATGAGGCGTAGATAAAAATAAGCTTTTTATAGATACTCTGATTTGTATCATAAATAAAAGGCCATAGGAACCAAGATATGCATTCGGGCCCAAACTTTCCAGCCCAAGTCTAAATTCCTGGTGTATTTTCCAGTGCTCATAACCTTGTGAATTTCAAAAACAGGATTGAAATCAGAAACAGATTAGCTTTGCAAGAACCTAATTAATCCCAGAGGTTGAAATTTAAAGTACAATTAGCTCTTCCAATTCACAGTTTTATTACGAAAGAATGAACCAACATACTGATTCTTCGGACCCGAAAGCACCATCTATTCTTCATCTACAAGAAATGACACCGCAGCTGCTAAACAATGTAATAGATGATCAGCGCTAAGCATGTCAAAATGTAATAGATGATCAGTCGATCATCTTATATTCCTTTCGGTCTTTCATTATCCTCAGCCCAACGTATCTGCCAAAATTGGATCAAAGAAAGTAGTCAGTTTTCGAAAACATTTCATTGTGCAGAATTACAAATACAACGACATTGTTAGCAGTGCTTTGTGGATACACTTACCTCCCAAGCATCATAAGAGTAGCCTGAGGATTTGTCCCAGGTGATATACCTAATGTTGATCCATCGACAACTCTGAGAGCATCAGTACCAATGACCCGGAAATCACCATCAACCACCTTCCCCAAAATGCAGCCCCCATGGTAATGCCATATGGTGCTAACAGTGCGGCGACAGAAATCTGCCATCAGCTCATAGTTCGATTGGTCTACAGGCAATGCAGGTCCCACAAACCTAAAGTCTTTTCTCCCAAACCAGCCCTGGAACTTGAAATCCTCCATAGACCTGGTCTTGAGTATATCACCAATCTTGCGCGTCCCATTCACACACCTGTGCACATCCACCGGGTTGCTGAAGTAGTTGAATCGAACAATTGGGTTCACCCTGACATTTGTTGAAGCCAACCTCAGAGAACCAGCTGAGGCTGGCCCAATGGTCTTCTCCATGAGGGTTGCCACAGTGAGGTAGAGAGGTGCGGATGGTGTCCGAATGAACACAGACATTGCAGGTGATGCAAAAGGGATAACATTGGAGGCTGCTTCAATGTAAGCTCCTGATTCAGTAATTCCCACAACTTGTATCAGTGAGTGCTCCAGTGGAAATGGTGGCACAATTGAGATGCCATTTCTTGGGTTATCATAGAGATATTGCCCAACATAAGGAAGATGATGAGCCACTGGAATCCCCCATGACGAAAGATAAGGCCTTGGGCCAATACCACTCAGCAGAAGCAGCTGTGGACTTCCGATGGCACCAGCTGATAGAATAACCTCACCATGTTCACGTAATACAGCGTGGTGATACCTCCCGACTCTGTCACGAAAAACAACACCCGCTGCAGACTGCCTTGATGCTGGAGACGGCATAGTTGAAGCCAACAGAATCCTCTCCACACTTGCATGAGTCACAACTTTGATGTTAAGTGGATTTGCATACTTGAGAAGATCTGCGGCACTGTGTCTCCTTCCCGAAGTGTCAAATGTCGAACCACCAATCTTGGTCCCCACCGCATGTTCCAAATCGAACCCGTTGTAGGGATCAACACCAGCTTCCAATAACCCATCTCGTACTGCCGATTGCCAAGTCCTCAGCTCCGGCCTAAACACAATTGCCCTTTCAACCCACTCGTACGACTCATTCACCATTCGGGGATCCCAATCGACACTGGTTTTGGTGTAAAAGTCCTGATCTGCACGGCTGTAGAAACCAGCATTTATGGCACTGCTGCCTCCAAGAATGCGGCCTCGGACATTTGCGACCCCTTCTTCAGATGTGAAGGCTTGAGTAGGTGAGTCAAAGGAGTTGACATCCATGAGTGTGGCCAAGAAACCTTCTCTGGTCATCAAGTTTCGATTTCCATAAGCAACCCCACCCCGTTCGAGCAGGAGCACTCGGAATCTAGATGATAATGTCGCAGCCAAGGGGCACCCAGCAGTGCCACCTCCTACAATAATGTAGTCGTAATAATCTTCTGTTGGAAAATCGGTGGCGTTGACAACAAATTTGAGGTAACTAGGCTCTGCAGATAGAACGAAGAAGAATCACACTCCGATTGGTTCAAAGAGGCATTAAAGCCTTATATGGAACAGAAATTACCAACAGAGAAGAATTATCCTCTGGTTGATAACCCAGAAAATTCACTGAAAATACAAATTTCCAAGAATTGAAAGCATGCGACATGGAAATCGAACTTATAGCTATCTACAAAAGACAGAGGAGAGTTAACTCCCTTCTGATTACCCAGAACAATTAAAGCAAAAATACACAGGAAATAAAACGAACTTTCTTGAATGAGGTCACTGGATAAGAGGGTTACACTTTCTTGCATTTTCTCAGATACCAAACAGAACCCAACTGAGAATGGGTTTCAAAAACATCAAAAAGCAAAAACCCATCAAACCCAGAGAGAGAAGAAAATCCAAATGTGGGTCTAATTCTTTAACCCGAAAAAATCCACAGAGTTTCGTTAGATTCACTAAATCGGTACAGAGAATCTCAATCCACTGTTTGGTTTCCAAGAAAAAAATCAGAAGAAAAGCGAAAACTTTGCAGCATTTCAACCACAACTGCATTCCCCCATCACAACTTCTCTCATGCATTCAGAAAATAAAGCCAAAAAGAACGAAGAAATTCGGTACGAATCGAAAGAAAACGGAGAGAGCGCAGCGAATCTCAGTTACCCTGATGAGGGCGGTGCGAGCTGCGCGTCCGCGCGTCGGCGACAATGGCGTTGAGAAACACGAACAAGAACGCCGAGTGCAGAAGAAGACAGAACGAAATGGGCCTCCCCATCGTTATGATTTTCCCGCCGTTTCTTGGAGGAGAGATAATTTTCTCGGTGTTTCTTTGAGAAGAAAGAAAGAAAGAGAGAGAGAGAGAGAGAGAGAGAGAGAGAGAGAGAGAGAGAGAGAGGGAAGGAGCTAGAGAGAGAAAGACTGTTTAGCAGAGAGGAAGACAGTGCCATGTTGGTTATACATTCAGTTGGAAGATCGTTATTTAGCGGCAAAGTGCGTCAATCCCATGCGTACGTGAGTAATAGAAGCCCATGTGCACTACTCAATCACTAGCCGTTGAATTTACGAGGATCCATTTCTCAAGAAATACAGGGGAAGATCGTAATTTTATGGGTCGATGGAGTAATTGCCTAGGTGGATCTCTATCGTTAAACACGAAGGTAGCGTTTGGTATGCAGACGAGACGAAACGGATGTTCTGTGTTATGTTTGGTACGCGCAGGAAGGAACAGGACGGTTGTTCCGTCCTGCGTTTGGTAGCGCATGGACAGAACGGAACCAAAAAATTAAATGACTAAAATACCCATGTTCCGGTCTCTCGATCTTACGGCAACACGAAGACAAGAAAAATCCAGAGTGACACTGCTGCTTCTTCTTATTCTTTACCCACTTACCAAAATGTCCCTGAGATCTCTCCCTTCTAAACCCAAAATCCTTCACTCTATCTTCCACTCCCTTCTCTCACCCTCCAAATCCAACGCTCATCGCCACCCCTTCTCTTCTCTCACCCACCACAACCCGCCATCTCCACAATCACCGCACCTGGTAAGCGAGTTCTCCCACATCCTCAGCAACCACAGGAACCCTCACCACAACTTGGAGCTCTCCCTCAACGCTCTGTCCACCCAAATCTCCACAGACTTGGTTGAGCAAGTTCTGAAACGCTGCAAAAATCTCAGGCTTTCTGCACACAGGTTCATTCTTTGGGCTAAAACAATTCCGGGTTTTCGACATAGTGCTGAAAGCTATCACATTTTGATTGACATTTTAGGAAGCTGCTACACGGAAGAGGACGAGGAGGAAGGTGGCAAATGGGAGATGCAGAGGTGAAGAGGCTACATGGAAGAAGATGAGGAGGAAGGTTGCGAAGGGGAGATGCTGAGGTGAAGAGGTTCACAGCGGCTGAGAAGAAGAGAAGATAGTTTTTAGGGTTTGTTGTATGATTTTGATGATGTATTTGAAAAAGACAAGGGGCATTTTTGTCTTAAAATGTTGTAAATTTCTGTCCCACGGACGTGGAACAACCCATTCCAAGGGGGGAGGTGAAACAAGGGTGCGTTTGGTACGTGGGATGGGACGGAACAGAGTGGGACGGACGCGTTCCGTCCCATGTTTGGTGCGCTAAAATTATGTGGAACGCGTCCGTCCCATGTTTGGTGCGCTAAAATTGGGTTAGGCATAAATAACCCTTTGTACTGGGAGTTAAACACACACTGAGAAGCCTTTCTTGCGTGGTGAAATCGTAAGAAAATGCGTAGGCTAGATTGGAAAATGGGTTTGAAATGTCCCTCGGTCACTCATCCATACTGGAGAGCTGCATCACTGTGGGTTTTAAAGCATTTCTTAGGTTTTAGAGCATTTCCCTGAGACTGTAACAATTAACATAGATAGTCGAAGAGGTGTCTCTATGGGTGGAAATATTTTGGTAGGAAAAGGGGTTGAAGGGACAATGTAACGTTGCCTGCCAGGGATCTTCTTATTCCTCATTAGTATTTTCTTTTAGGGGGAAGGGAGAGATGAAATATATAGGTTTTGGCTAACGTTTTTCTTAGTTTTCTATTTGATTCTTGTTTTGCATCATGCTTCTTTTTCTTGTTAGTTGTTGTTGTATATTGGAAGGTATGGTCATAGTATGCAAAGCAAGTTGTCCTTGTGCATCAGTGGTGTCATTATTTTTTGTTGTTAGAACCTATTTGTTGGCAATCAGTTGCCAAATTATCGGATATCTTTTTTGTTGTAAAATCATGTCCTTTGTCCAACTTCTTTTCCTCCCCTAGCCTAGTGATTTATTTTCTTGTTGCATACTTTATCCCACTTTATATTCATTGTTGGACGCTTTTGATTTTCCATGTTTAGCATCTTTAGTAGCTGTGATTCTTCATAAGGCCAAAGCTGCTAAAGATGGAATTGAATGATAATGCTTTTTCATTATTTAGGATGTACAAAACATTTGAGACGTGATAGACACGATAATGCTCTGTGGCTGATTACTTGGTGCTTTTCTTTTGTAAAAGTTGCCCTTGTCTTTAACCATGTCAGACATCATGTAAGTTTGTAACTGCTTTGCTAGGAAGGAAGCATGCATGGGGTTTAGGAAAAACTATGTGAAAGATTGTGACTTGCAAGCAGTTTTACTAGTGTGTGTGATTGTAAAAGATCGTCTGTTGAAGTTTATTTGGTGTCCTCATATGCTTATCTCTCCTCCTTGTATACGGGAGTTCTATCGTGTTGAATGAATTACCATTTGAAAAAAAAAAAAAAAAAAAAAAAACATGATTTGGAATTATCACAAGATTGGTCATTCATGGCTTGCTGATAAATTTGTGTACTTTTTTTGTTTTATTATTACTTACCAATGCTCTTTGCTTTTTGTTTTCTAGGTCTCCATGTATTTTGTTGCAGCACATTAGATTATCTTAAAGATCCAGTCTTGTCCTAGATAGCCTTTTATTAGATGAATACTCAAGAAACATAAAGTTATTGCTTCAGGCCATGGGTCTGTTGACTGATATGTACACATCAGTATGGCTCTACAGACACATCAGCATGAAGGTTACACATCACCAAGGCACACATCAGCGAGGCAGTTAGTTTGTTGAGATTGTAGGAAGGCTGTTAGTCTGTTGGGATTTGTAGGGATAAGAAAGTTGGTTAGTAGCTTATAAGTGAAGCAAAGAATACTTGTATAAATAACGAACACCTCTCTCTGGAATTCCTTCATTGTTCAAGGAATACAATCTTTAGTCATTCACTTTCTCTCTCTAAATTATTTGCCATTGTTTTTCGTTTTGCTTCTTCTGCCATGTCTTCAGTCAAGAAATGGCATAACATATATTATCGCGTGACATATATTTAGCCATCTGTAAAAAAATATATCATAGATAAGCATATATGTGTTCAAATATGAACAAGTAAAAAAAAAATTGTCCCGTCCTGTCCCACACATAAGCATTGTGCCAAACAACAGACGAAACAGGAGTAAGTTAGTCATTTAATCTTTTGGTTCCATTCCATCCAGCACGTACCAAACGCAGAACGGAACAACCGTCCTGTGCGTACCAAACATAACACGGATCCTCCGTTCTGTCCCGTCCTGTCCCGTCCCGTCCCGTCCCATTCCATTCCATCCCGTCCCGTCTGCGTACCAAACGGTAGCCAAAAAATCATCCAAAACTTGTTCCATGGAACAGCACATTCCACTCATTTTAGGCGCACCAAACATGGGACGGAACGCTTCATCCAACTCTGTTCCGTCCGGTCCCGCGTACCAAACGCGACCGAAATGCAATTGTAGTTGCAACTCTTCAAAGTCCGCCAACCAAAACGATGTCGTCTCGAAGCAAAGCAGTCATCGCACTTTCAAACCCAATAGAACCTTGTGTCGTGTACAGTATCTACTTCTATGCCGTTAGATTGGTTAAGAACTGTCTGGAGTATGGTTTATACATGAATTCAAAGCTTATATCTGACTGAAATTGGCTTCTTATTTTATTTGAAGGCCGTCCTAACTTTTATGGGAATTCTATAGTTTGCGATGTCATAGAGATATAGAATTTTCTTTTTCAGGTTTCTACTTATATAAGAGAATTCATCTTAATCTTAAGGATTCGATGCGGTGTTAAAAAAACTACGCATTTTGTCTATAATACGTGCCTTTTTCTGAATCACTACTGTGACTAACAGCACTTCGTATAGCACATTATTGTCTGTAATACTTTACTAATTGCATTGATCTAAAGTAAACCACCTGAGTTGTAGAGCAAATTACTGGAACTCAAAAGCACTCACTTTTCGGAATGTCCTATGAAGCCTAGTTGAATGGTCATACTACTAATGCACATATACATTCACGGGACCTACATACCTGCACTGCATTTGTATATCAATGTGTGTTTGTTGTATAATATAAGCTCTAGAAGGCTCAAGCAATTTGCAGCAGATTTATCCCCGGACAAAAAGTTTTCGTCAAATCCTACTACCATTAAAGGTTTTTATGTTGGTGCCTAACTTGTAGACGTTTGGGTGGTTTCTCCCGTCAAGCCCCTCTGTCATCTATTCACCAGACTGCCCTGGCTGCTGGGAAATCTGAGGACGGCATGGAGCTTAAAGTTTGGTCTTGCAGAGTATGTGAAGTTATTGCAGCCATTGACACTGAGCTGTGCAGCCTGCGGGACGTTAAAAATGGATGTGAAGTTTAAAGTTTGGTCTTGCAAATTTTGTACCCTGGACAACAGAGTCAAGCTAGATAGATGTTTAGCTTGCAGAGAATGGAGAAACTATCCCGCCCCTCATGTCCCTAACCGTGGACCTTATGTTGCACATGACAAAGACTGGATACCAAATCTCCTCAGGACTCTTGCAGAGTTATGCAGAATGATCTTATGAACACAAGCACTTGTCATTGTTTAGAACAAACTTACAAGATTGAAAGTGAGCTATACAGTCTAGAAAGGGTGTGCTAAATGTTCATGATTGGTCAGCATTTCTAGGAGCTTATCAGAAGGAATGAATTCCTTCGGTAGCCATTGAAAAAGCAGCAGAAGTATTATTTTCTTCTTTCCGCAGTGTCATAGCTAACAAAAGCAACTCGCCTTTCTGCATTCTCAGTGTATGGCTAGAGATCGGTCATCACAAACTCGCAACCAACTTGCGTATTATTTTCTTCTTTCTGAAGATACTGTTGTGTTTCTTGCTGGTCTTGGGGATCCCTGTCACCCGTTTCCATGGCTCTTCGATCTTGAAGGTGTACTTTAACCGTTTGTACGCTATCATCAAGAAACAATTTTAGAAACCATTCTTGTCGCTTCTTCCTTTAGGTCAATCAACAGCCCCGTGTGTATAATTTCGATATCGCCGCTCACGGGCCCGTACACATTCTCATCACGGGGAAGCCG